CATTTTCACTGCTTATATATTATTTTGAAGTCACACGATTTGCTGTATTATCTCCGGTTGATTAATTCGCAACTACTGGATATTTTGGAGAAGCCTTTAGAGTATGATCGAAAACGTAGTAAAAATGATACCTAAATTTCTACTCGTTTACGAGCATTTTAAAAAGGGGGTTTTTGTAGCTCAAATTTTGCACAGATCTTCGACTATCCATATCACATCTACAACATTTGCGCAAAATATGTAAATTTGTCTAGGTCCCTGAAAAAGGTTTTCAAAACCTTTGGTTTTTCACTTGAAATCCATCAAATCGAAATAATTCTAATTCAAATTCAAGTTATGGATGAAAATTTTGATCAAGCAGCTCTTATGTCGGGAAATTATTATCCAAAATCAATTAGTTCGGATGACGAAAATGATGGTTGTTTTTCCATTCATCAACAAGAATTCGCCGATCTTCAATTACTTTCATCTGCCTATTCAACAACATCATCGGCATTCGCCGAATCTATAGAAATATCGAAAATAATTGATGAGATTGAACGAATTGAAGATGATTGGAGTGATCACATTGGAGAAGAAGAAAAACAAATCAATGATCATACAAAACATAAAGAACGAAAAGTAGAATCGTCAAAGAAAAATTTAAAATGTTTTGTTTGCGGTGCAAAAGCTTTGGGTTATAATTTTGACCAAATTTCTTGCGAATCATGTAAAGCGTTTTTCAGAAGAAATGCATTGCGAAATATGGTATGTTGAAAAAAATCACTTTACCACTACGATTTATAGTTTTTTGCCAATGTGATATCATGGGTGAGAGTTAGTACTGCTAAGGAATATATACTATTCGAAAGTCTTAGACAATATCTGTAAGAAATAATAGATCGAGAATGTGCTATGGATAACATTATCGATGACATTGAATAATTTTTTGTTATGTTTCATTTTTAGTCTGATTTAAAGTGCCGTTTTAGTGATCATTGTGAAGTGACAGTTGCTAGTCGTCGATATTGTACTTACTGTCGACTTCAAAAATGTTTTGTGGTTGGAATGAGAAAAGAATGGATTCGAAGTGAGGAACAGAAAAATATAAAGAGACATCAAACAGAAAAAAATCGCCAATTGAAAAATTTGACATATAATAATAATGGACAAATTGTAAGTAATTTATTTTCTCATATAAAAAATATTGAATTTATTTGTTTATTATTATTTTTCAAGATTCATACACTTAGTTTACTTTCAAATGATAAATCAAGTTTAACACAAGATGATTGGCGTCACTTAAACAATATTGTCGGATTACACGAACAAAAAGTAAAACCTATTGTATTTAACCGTCATTCAATAAAAACAACAACTGTAAATGATTTTGTTAATAATAAAACTGTTTGGGTACAACAATTAGCATCTTATTTTAAACAAATTCCTGAATTTCAACAATTAAATATTAGTGATCAAATTGTATTATTTAAATATAATTTTCGAACATTAGTACCGATAAATATAGCTCTAGTTAAACATATATTAGCATCCATGTTACCACCACGTACTGCCGATCATACCAGTTTTATGATATCGGTACATGGAGAAGAATTATATCGAAAAATGCAAGAAAATATACATACTTTTAGTTTATTTCAACATGATCCAGTAATTATCAAATTAATGTTAATTATTATTAAAAAAGTGTTTTGTTTATTGGTCAGATTAAATAAATTATTGGTGATTCAAGCTTTATTTATTTATCATTTTTCATATATTTAATGATC